ATATTGAACAATTAGAAACACAACTATTGGTAAAAGTTCAATGCATACTATTCGGTTTATAAATACCTCTAGAAAGGTCCTTTTATACTTTAACGCAATTCTTCCTTCATAAAAGTTATTCCTTAGCATATGATTATTTAAAAAAATATGATAAGTATACTGTTTTAATGAGACACTTTTCTTTAAGTGGATTCTTCAGTGGGTGCCGGAGATCGGCGGTGAGGCATGCCTGCAAGCCATCGTCGGGCCATTAGGGACCGCCTCACGGCCGTCACACTGCCGTAGAAAACTCTGGCATATTGGCAAAAAAAATTCGAAATAATTGACACCAACAGGAGCATGGGACGAGGGGAGGTGCCAGAGGGATTATCGGAGTTAGATCGGGTCGTTGTACCTAGTTTTTTTTCGGTGCACCGGCGCTGCGTCAGCGGACGATGCGATGTATTTTCTAATTGCCTTATCGCTTTCAGCGTTGACGGGCGCTCGAGCGCGAGGACTCAAAGTCCTTTGACGATGAGTGGACACTTTTGGGGTCCGGCCATGGGAGAAAAAAGAGGAATGACACACAGATACAGAGAAGAAGCAGTGTTAATTGCAATTTGCGTTTGTCGTCGTGTACGGCGGACACTTTGAAGTGTGTTTGCATTCGGAAATGGATTTTGGTCCTGCGTCTGCAGCAGAGAAATATTTCATAAGCGCTGGCCAAAAGGATCAATTAATGTCAACCGCCACGCGAAAGCGACAAACTGTTTGACATCGAATTTGGTGGATACTACTCGATCCCGAATTGCTGATGCCATTTGCCTCATTGCCAACGCTGGAGGAAAGCCCAGGTACTTGGCACTTGGGGTTAATGGAAAGCCACCAGTAGAGGCAGGTTGGGAAAAGTGCGGACAAGTTTTGCGGAAAAGAAAAGGGGACTCAGATTCACCTCGAATGCAAACTTTGGAGCACTTTGCCGGCTTGAAAGATGAGGCCAAACTTGCGGATAGATTCTCCTGGATGTGGAGAGGCGACCCTTGGACAGAGGCAGGACAGCAAATTTATGGCATTGACCACAGAATGTGTTAGTGAGTCCCAACATGTGAGTGGCACTGCTGCTGCTGCAACTGAAAGTTCACTTTGTAAGTAACTTTCTGGCAAAGTCTGGCAAGTGCGCTACTAAATAAAAATTTATGGGAACAGGGGACGGAAGGTGGGCAGGACTATTGCCCAGACACTTGACCACTTCCACACTTATGCAATTATGAAATTGCCATAGAAAGTGACACTTTTATTCGTCATCCTGCTGGCATTGTCCTGTGCCGTTGCCCTTGCCTTTGCCGAGGGGAAAATGAAGAAAATTGCGCAACGAAAACTCTTAACAAAGTCATTTAGTCCAGATGCTGCCAGTTAAGTTAGTGAGAGCTCTAGACCATTTCCCTATTCCCCCCCCCATCTTGTTTTCCCCGACAAACATCAGCCGATTTCCCGGGGCAAGGAGTCTCCCGAGCCGGTTTGGCAAAACACATGTGGTTAAGGCTTGCCAAGTGGACTGCGAAGGGTTAAGCAAGCGGCCTGGAATTTTGGCCAAAGTGTGCTACTTAAGGGCGGGCAGATGGATCCACCCCCCCACACACACACACACACATAAACACACGCACGCACTCCGGTCACTTACTGTAATTGTCTCTGCCCCAGCGGGAAACTAAGGCGGCGCAAATTAAGTGCAGAAAGCGATTACTGGACAAAGCGGCCACACACAACGGAAAATGTAATCAATCGAAATTGAATGCATTATGAAATGGAGTAAATTATTTAACTATTAAATATTTTCTACTTAGATACATGAATTGACATACAGAAATTTAAATATCAGTATAATTTCTTCCATAAATAAAGCTGCAGGTTTCAGCCTTCCCTCAAAAATTGAGACTGTTTCTTATATCTGAGGCAAATCTATGTTTTTTATCCAATTCCAAATAAATATTATTTTAATTTTCAATAAGCTCATATAGCAAAGTAATTTCTTTAAGTGGAATATTAAGAGAGGCAGTTCCCAAGTGTCGCAGTCGAATCGTCAGGGTCAAGGCGTAGCGTTTGATGAACTTGTGGGAAGAGTCCTTGACAGGGCGGGTGGTTTAGTTCGAGAATGGTGGCTCTATCACCATAACTTTGGCACAATATGCTGCCCAAGTTTCGCCGCCGAACTTGGTCTGAATTTCTCCGAGACATTTACTTATCTGGTCGGACACGTGGCCAGCAATTGTCTCTGGCAATTGTCGGAAAACGGGGAACACTCTGAAGCCAGTAAACTAGTTGAGTTTTCAACTCGTTCTCCTTTAACTTTAGCGAGGCGCAATAAATTTTCCGCAGTTTGCTTTCAATTTGTTGATTCTGTCCCTGCAATGACGTCAACGCAGGAATTTTCATTGCATGTGGCACTCAAAGCAGTCCTCTCTCTTTGAGACATAACTATTCATTTGTTTGATTTTAGAAACATTTTCCGAGTTCTGCTTATCAAATTCAGCTTCTTCTTTGAGGTTGAATTGTCCCCCTCATGAGCAAATCTAAAGACCATGTCTCTCCCTCTTAGTTGCGGAAGGAGAAACTCTCGCCAGGAAGCTCACAAAAGTAAAGGCAACATTTGGCAGTGCATTTTCATTGCAAACGGAAAAGTGGCTCCGGTGCTTATGTGCTGTTGGTAATTCTTCCTAAACACGCAAAAAATTTATTATAAGGGGTCCGTTAACTTATTTTATAGTTGGCTTAATAAACAACTAATAAAAACTGAATTATATGCTTAAAAAATCTATGAAGAAGAACTGTGGAGTTTTATTTTAAGATTGTTAGGATAGGCAACACATTACTAATTAATAAAAACGCTATCCATAAAAAGTAATTTAAGATATTTTTTATGACATAATGTCAATTATTCAATTATTATTATATAAATTAAAGAAGGCCTTCGTATAATATTGTTCTTATTTGAACTCTTTCTTTAAATAATAATATTGTATTTAAAGGAAATCTTTCATTTTCTTTTGCAGTGAGTGTCTCCGGGCAAGTAAGCATGCATGCAGGATCTGGTGCTTTAAGGCACCCTGCTGCTGCTGCTCCTTTTGCTGAATACTTAGATGCTGTCGCATCCTGGAAGCTTGGCTCATCTTCAGCTCCACTGCCATTTGCGTCTTCATTCGGCAATTTCCACTTGCTGCTCTGGCAACTTTGGGGCATCGTCTCCTCTTGGCTACGTCTTTTATTGTTTCAAATTTTATTGCTGCATCAGTCTGTGGCAGACACAGATGCAGACGGAGTCGGAGCAGCTCTAGCCTCTAGCTCACTGTGGGATGTGGGTTCTGGTGCATTTTTCTTGATGCCCGTCCAAGTGCTCCACTTTCGCCGCTGGTGGGTCACATTTTATGGCCTGGTCACTTCGCAGTCAGCTGCAAAAGCAGTTTCTAATCTTTTGATTATGTACGACGGACGCAGTGAGAGAGTTTTGTGCATATGGCATTTGGAATTTCGAACTTCTATCTGCCGCCATTTATTTATGGCTCTATCAATAAAGAATATAAATTATGGTTATTGTTGTTTCCCAACTGCCAGTGATGTTGCCGCTGTTGTGTGTGTATGTGCATGTGTTGCGTGGAAAATCAGCCATCGCGCAAAGGTCAGTCAGCAATTGTTGTTGCTGACGTTGGCGTTCGCAGCTTTATTTGCACATCTTCTTCTTCCCTGCGATGTCCTGCCATTGGCATTGGTAGTGGTGTTGGTATTGGTATTGGGATCCTTTCGTGACCACACGTGCAACCGCCAATGTTTGTTCATGTTGCTGCCGCTGCTGCTGCTGTTGCTGCTGCTGCTGTTGGGGCTGCAACATTGCTGTTGCAACGGCAGCATCAGCCTCTTGTTGACTCGGTTTCCTGTATGTTTGCAGCGCTTATGCAGCCAGCCTTCGTAGCACCAACACTCGGGTCTTCCGTCCATACAAAACGCTTTATGTTTGCCTTTAATTTGCGTTCGGCGCCTTGGCGAATGCAGCGATTTTTCTGTTTACCGCGAACAATGCCGCTGGGTACAAAGAACGCGCTTTCATAACATCCGTTTGCAATGTTCTGAGAAATTGATTGATTTAAGCCCTTTATGGGACTTACAATCAACAGAATACGAATTTCCATCAATAATAAACTTTCTAAATAATAGGTATTTAAAGAGCAAATTCATCCAGTGAGTAGTGACTTTCATTTACAAAGTTCGAATCAGACGCAAAGAAATGCTTAACATCGTTATTGGGTTACGGATTATCGTTTGCCGCTGGACTCAATCTCTTTATACTTTCGCATTTCTCTTTCTGCTCATTTCTGTCTCAAGTTATGCCAGGAATTGATTGAAAATCAAACCAAAACCCTCGAACTTTTTTAAGCGTGTTTGGAGTTATCCTGAATGCATTGTACCATAAATATAAACACAAACAGAACACACACCAGCAGCACCAACACAGAGGCACATCAAAGAAAAGGCAGTGGGGCGATCCTTTGGAATTTTCAACTATAAAACAGAGCATGAGTAAAATGTTTGCAAAAGAAATGTAAAAGCTGGGGGAAAAACACAAAAAATTGCATATTAATTATGTTTTTTCTGGCACAATTCCACTGCTAGGCGGTAAAGAGTTCGAAGGGGTCCGCAGGATGACGAAGGGAAGGATATTTTTTACTTTGAACGTTCGGGGGCCGTGGCAGATGTTGAACAACAGAAACTAGTTGGGGCTGTGTATTGGGGGCGCGCCAAGTGTTTTGCCAGAGAGTAAGTGTGTAAGGTCCTGTACACCGAAAAAATATTCACAAAAAGCATTCATTTATATTTTAAAAGCTAGGATTTTCACATATAGAAACTAAATCTCTTCTGGTAATGCATCCATAAATATATGACGGAAAACTAGATTAATGCAATGCATCATATATATTTTCAGTTATTTCCAACTGTAAATCATTGAATTAAAAGCAAATATAGACACATATCTAAGCATTAAACAAAACAGTTAATTTTTCAGGCTCCACCTTATTCTCGCCTTCATAAAACTCAATCACAGTTTTCATATTTAATTCCGACATGCGCTCCAGATAGGTAATATAGTCCACGTCGCTCTCCAAGCCAACGATCTCACAGTACAGCGAACCCATTTTCAGATTGATCCATTCCAAGGCCTCAGCCAATTCACATTCCTTTGGTTCGGCCTCGTCCAAATAATTAAGTGTGATCTTTTCGTGATTAATTAAAAATCGATTGGATGCTGTTGGTTTCTTCATGTCATCAGCCAGGGTCAACATATCCTTCTTGACCTTGTCGAGTGTGGACAACTTGAGCTGCAGTTTTTCATTCAGATGCTTGAGTACCCCTTTACATTGTTGGGTTTTAGCATCTAGTTTGTCCTTGAGGTCCTCAATGTTACCATTGTAGTTCTCAGAGTTGGACATAAATTCGCGGACGTCCTTGATGGGTATTACCTGGGGAACGGCCAGTTCGGCAGATATGTTTTTGCAGCTAATTAAATGTTCGACATCATCAGTATTGGTGGTCATCTTTAATACCGGTATTTATTTGTACAATAATTATTGATATATACAATGTAGTCAGTCGGATGGAAGGAAATTTGAATATATGAAAAACTATAGGTTGCTTTTTAACAGCCAATTTTTCACTGACTACTGTTTACAAAAATTAAGCAATAAACTATTCTGTTTTTGTTCTCAGTGCATCCATACCTGCGCCTGACTTTTATAAATACACTCACTCATACACACACCATGCATTGAGCCTGTGCGACTAGGTGTGTTGTGTGTGTGTGTATATGTGTGTGTGTGCATCTCTCAAAGGTGTTTGTGTTTAGCCGCATTCTGTTTGTTTACAGTTTTTGCATGGCTTTCAGCACACACACACGCACATGGCAGCTCATTCTCCTCATGTTTGCCATTATCTTACATGGCGCTGGGTTCTCAGCACTTCTTTTTTTTCCCCGGCGTTCCGCTTTTCCCTGCTCTCCCGCCTTTTTCCCCCTCCTCGGCAACGGCTGGCAACTAAAAATGGAAAATTGAACAACAACTTCTGCTCGTTTTGCTGCCCGAGCGAGCGGAAGTCCACAGTGGCGCTGCCGGTCCCAGTGCCTGTGCTTCTGCCTGTTTTCCTCAGCCCAGTTTTTCACGCAATGTTTTCCTTTGCCGCACTCACATACACACACAAACACACTCAAGTGCCGTTAATGGGAGTGGGTGGGGGGAAAAGGTGCGAGGGCCACGGTTGCAGGGACTATCAAACTGCAAGGTTAAGCCATAATGAAAGTAAAATGATGTACAAAATTGCTGCCCCTGCTGGTCCAATGTGTAAAAAAAAAGATTGTAGATTCAGGGACGAGGGAGCAACATCGTCACACATTCACAATAACGTCAAAGGATGGGGTGGTGTGAAGTGGGTGCCGAGGTCACTGCCACCGGGAAAAAACGCCCAGGTTTCCGCGGAAGTTTCCCCTCTACTATTGAACGAACCCCTTTACTATTTTTTGCTTCGTAAGGGAAAATTAAATATAAAACATATTATGTTATATTATAAAGAACTTTATAAAAGACTAGATTTAATGAATTATTTGTGGAGAATCATTTTCACGCCCTGTCTGCAAATTAATTATATAAAAATATGCCACTATACTTATGGCTGCCACTTTTTGTTTTTCAGCTCTTATTTTTCCATATATTTTGGTGGTAAGTGTGCAGAAGGTGCAGCAGGATATATCTACCCTTCCTGCTTCTGGCCTCCAAGGATGTTGGCGTTCCAGTGTCAAGAGTGTGGTGTGCGTGCTTCATGGTGTACACCAGTGCGTATACGCGATATATGTGTGAGCTCTATATGGGCTCCGATCCGATCCGTCCATTGCCTTTATTTGCCTTTATGCGTTTATCGTGCCTCCACCGGCACAAGCAACAACAAGCCAGAGGAGACGAGAGATGAGAGGCGGCAAGGGGAGCCGTTGTTTGTCTTTAATTATGTTTGGACGCGATGCCATTTTTGTGCTGTCCAGGACCTACTTATGTGCGTCCCGAGCCTGCCAAGCAACCAGCAGTTGGCAACGAAGCGGATCGGAGCGTTGCCCCCATTTGGTTTCAGACTTTTTACTTATGTTACCACACTTGGAGGATATATTGAGGATTATATAAAAAAATTTATTAAACATAAAGTCTTGGAATATCTTCTAACCATTATACGTTGTTAAAATCATAGGAAGCTTATAAACATATGAACTCACGGAAAAGAATTCGATTAACTCTGTTGAAAACTTTTGTAAAGTTACATTTCAAAGTATTTTTTGATATTTTTTTTCGTGAGTGAATACACATAATTTAAGTAATTTCTTGAAGTGCAATGGTAGTTCCTTTTTCCTGTACTCACTCGCAGTTATTATGCATCACCGCCGTCGGCGAAAATAAAATTAAACGATAACATTTCCTTTTCATTTGCGCACGCATAAAATTTCAGTGAACCCATCTACCAAGACTGACGCCTTTCGGCCCAGACGGGCTAATACGAGCCGTTGGTGTTGGCATCGGCGACAGGCGGGGCAAGGAAGTGAAAGGAGTGCAACATTTTCCATTTCGAACGCATGGAATTAATTAAAAGAAGCGACCGGAAATATTGATTGCTCACGGTTCGATACTGGGACTTGTACTTGCACTCTGAAGCTGGTAATTTTAATTGGCAGCCGGGACAGAGCTGGGCAGCTCCTCACTTCATTGCTAGCAAATTTACTCCAGATGAGTGCGAGTTCCGGGACAAGCGGGATGGCCAAATGGCCAAATGGCCAACTGGCCGCGGCTCCAGCCGGACAGCTTCATTTCGCGACACTGCATGTCAAAGTGAAATATTGGCTGGAGACATGTAATAAATTTTAAAATTTTTTATTATGCGCTGCAGCAAAAATGCGGGCAAGCTGGCAGGACAAGCCAACGCATTGCCGCCAAAGTGGTTTGCACGGGTGCCTGCGTGTCTGTCATGCGTGTCCTCACCACAGACACATTCGCGCTCACACACCAAGGACCTCCCTTCGCACACACACAGCCCTGTAGGCAGGCACACACTCACACACAGACACATGTAGTGTTGGTGTACTGATTCAGCGGCTCCTCAGTGTGGCGTGAATCGTAAATCAACGATTTAGGCTCACATGCAGCGACTGAGGCAAATTTTTTAACCATTTTTTTTGTTGTTGCGTCCTCCATTGCCATCTCTCTTTTCGCCATTTGACATTTTTGGACTATCTACACTGAAGGCTATTGCAGTTGGCAATGCCCTGCAAGACCTTAATCTACATAAGACATTGATTAGAATCAAATGATTATTTTAAGTATTAAATATCCAAGGTTGGGCTCACATTTTACATTTCCTGTTCAAGATGTATAATAATTTATTTAATAATTTTAGTTATAAATATCACATACTTTCTAAAGTCTACAGATCCATTTTAATTTAGCTTTAGAGGAGCTCATTAAGGTGTCATTGCAACCCTATACCATTGCTCATTTGCACTGGGGCCAACGCTGCGTATACGCAATAACGCGTTATTCTGTTACACGCACACATACACTCAAAGCGACCGGGAAAACACCGTCAACACATCAGCATGATACTGTTTCCGTTGCCGCAGCATCACGGGCTAGGGAAGGCAGCCAGCCCTTCTCATGACATATTGATTTGATGCCCCGGCTATGTCGAGAATTTCCATTAAATTCGCCACCCAAAAGGTCGACGAGCGAAGACCGATAGAGCAGCAAAAAGATAGGCTGAAAATGGGAAAGCTGTACAGGCATTGGCCATTAGAAGCGCAGCACTTTCCCCTCTCCAAAGGCTGGCTGTTTTTGCAATTGCAAATCGCGCGAAAAATTGCGACGCACATCAATCAGGGGCGAGCGGAACAACGACGACGATAAACGGCGGCTGGGTAAAATATTAAATTGGCTATTGTTGCCTAATTGAAAACATAATTAGCCTTAATTTATTAGCTGGCCACGCACCGGGTCCACAGGGAGGCAGGAAGGGGTGTTTGTTCCAGGTCTATCGATTACCGTCCATCGTTGCGTTGCCGCTGGAAAAGCGCGTCAAGAAAATCTGAGCGACACATCGATGGCCGGGCCAAAGGGTTCGACGGGGAAATGGCTGCTCGACACGGCCCTAATTTAATTAATCCATGCAAGCATAGTACAGCAAAAACTTAAGCGGCTCTACAGATACACTATCCTACACGGTTTTGAAAATTGCAATGAGCACTTGGGATTTAAGTTTTAGTTTAATTAAAAGTAGTAGTAGTAGTTGTAGGTAAAATCAACATCAATGATAAACAAAGGATTATCTGCTCATAAAAAAAGAAACAAGAAAGCAAAGTAAATCCAGAAGCCGAAGTTTATATACAATTGAAATATGGGATCAAAGTGGAAATCGATTATAAATTAACTCAAAATATTATTTTTCAACACATCTAAGTTTAAAATCTCATAACTAAGCCAAAAATGCATTAATTTTAATTCGGTAAGCTTTCCTCTGTTAGTTTTTCATAGGTTAATAAATCTGGTTACTCAATTCAAAATATTAAAAAATTAAAATTTTGTTGATTTTTCTGCGGCAATATTGAAAAAATAACCCCAAAAAAATGTCGAAAATTATTTTAATTTTTTTTTTCGCCATGAGATCTGTAGAATGATTCGCCTTTTGATGTTGATCAAGAATATATATGATTTATAGGGTCGGAAATGACTATAATATAATAATATAATATAATAATGAAATGATAATATAATAATACCCTCCAAGGGAATAAAAATGATATAAGAAATTAAAGCATGGCCATATAACTTCCTAATAGCTTTAGGAAAAATATCTAAAAATTTCTTAAAGATGCAAGTCAATCAAGTAAACCGCAAGGACTCTGTTGTCCTTAGTTCCCAGTTTGGTTAACCAGTGTGCTCGGATGTCATTGATGTAGCTGCTGCTAATACCTTAACTAAATATATAATGTTGCATCAGCCCCTGGCCACGATCCTGGGTAAACTTGAGAGCTGAGCTTGCCAGCCGTCCTGCCGCGATGTCCTTGGCATCCTCGCTGTCGTAGTCGTTCTCGTTGTCGTTGTTTCGAAGTCGCTGTGTCGCTTGCAGGCGCAGTTAGTTAATGCTGCACATTATTTCGACAAGAACAACAATCTCGGATACTTTTTTTTTGTATTTTGCCTGTTTTTCGCTTGGCAGTCTCCTTCGGCTCCTGTCGCTGCCAGGAGGACTAACTAGGTTTTTTGACAGGCTCATGCATGTGACTTTGTCGTTTATAACTGCCATCCGCCGTGCACATGTATTGGCATCCTTCGCAGCGCAGTGTCTGTGTGTGTGTGTGTGATGGCGCTTGTAAATGTCTGCTGGTGCAAAAGTCTTGTATCCTTCTTTCAGCTCCGTGCATTCATTTTAATTTTGAAACTTGTACTTCCCGGCTTTCCTCGCACACACACACACACACACACATGCGGAGGACTGAGAGGCCCTGTCTGCTTCT